TTAACCCTTGACTTGGTGTTGTCAGCACCACGCTCAGCCAGTGAGCAACCGGCCACCCCTATATGGGATCCGAACCCGTGGCCTTGGCGTTATCAGCACCGCACTCTCCCGAGTGAGCCACGGGCCGGCCCGTATATTTCTTACTTTTGTGTTAAACTTGGAGTGGGCCCTGCCCAGTCTCTGGAGCTAGGCTGCACTCTCTCTGTGGAACCTGTATTTCTTATCTGTTACATTAAACCTGTTCTCACTTTCTACTGTGCCTCTGCTCTTGAATTCTTTCCTGTGGTGCAGTCAGGAACCTGCTAAGAGGACAGGATGGGTTGAGGCCGACCATCGGGCCTCCCAGGCCCTTCCTCTGTCATCAATAGGCCCCAAGGTTGCTTCCAACTCCCACCTCCATGAATAACACTCAATAAAATCCTTGTCCATCTTCCCATGTGTTTCTCTGGCCCCTGCTGGGACAGGATACCAATACTTAGTGTCACCAGAAACTGCCAGTTTGCTCTTCATAATAGTGACCCAGTCCACATTCATGAGTTATGTGTGCAGCTTCTTAGGTGCCCACATCCTCACCAACACCTGGCATTTTTTGCTCTTCTTTCTGCCAGGAGGCTGTGAGCTGAGTGGCGTTTCTTGGTGGTTTTAATCTCATTGTCAGTGAGTTTGAGCCTCTCTTCAGATACTGGTGTGCATGCTCCATGAACTGCTTGTCCAACTTTTTTGTCCTTGTGTTTCTTTTTCTTTTTTAAATTTATTGAAACATAATTGATTGTACATGTCTGTGGGGTACACCATTGAATATCAATACCTGTGTTTCTATTGGGCCTGTTAAATAGAATTTATAGGAGGCCATTGTTTTGGACTAAGTTCCTACGCTAGGCCCCAAAAGATCAGACTAAAAATCAAAATGGAGTCACTCCTGCTAAGTTCCACATCACCAAATCTAAATTGTGGTCTGACCTTCCTAGAAATCAGGAGAGAGAGAGAACAGTAAATTTCCCAAACAGGCCGGTTTAAATCTTCAATAGGCAGGATAATGAAGTTCCTTCTGCTAATCCTTACACAAAAAGGATAGCCTGAAGTAAACATGTTAAATAATCAGTTAGTTTTCTATTGTTCTGTCTCCCTGTCCCTACCTTACAAGGAAAGTCCTTTGATATGACCAATCCACTTTTTTATCTTTCTTCAGCTTTTTCTGTCTATAAAACCGGGCCTCCTCTGCTTGGCTCATTGGGACGCTTATCCTACTTTATGCAGTGAAGTGTTGCCTGGTTCTAGAATCTCAAGAAAGCCAATTGAGACCTTTATTTTATTTATTTATTTATTTATTTTAAAAGATGACCGGTAAGGGGATCTTAACCCTT